CTCGAGGAGCGAGTTGCCGATATATATAGTATATATAATGTGTATATGTATATGTATATAATTTTAATGTGTTGTTTATCTATAATACTTTTCAATGTGAATCATATGAAACTAAAGATGTCACGTTACTTAACTGTGCATTACGTTAAAGGACATTTTGTGCAATTGAGTGTATGACGTCTTTGTACTAACTTGGAATTTTCTTGTATTTTTCTACTATTTTATATTAGGTATTTATTTCTCGAGTGTATTGTAGTTTTATGCTGTCAAAATTAGACACGTCTTGGTGACCATTCTCTTTTCAGCATAGTGTGTTTTTTAGAATGAGAAATAACGTAAACAAAGAAGCGAGTGACCCTAAACCTTCCTCTAAGCCCTAAACCTTTTTCTTCAGACAACAAATGAAATTACAAGTTAAAAAAAAATTCGTGAAAATTATTCACAATTAAATGACATTTATAAGATTAAATGACACAACAGTATGTTCTTGTTTTATAAAGTTTCCATTCAATGTTCGTAACCTATGTTTCTCTAAGTTTTTAATAGTGTACATTACGAGTACAAGAAACATAATATAAATTTAGTGAATGTGTTTCAGAATTTTGTTAAACAGTGATTATTAAATTGATTTGCTTACAAAATTCCGGAATGCAACGGCGCCTGATAAAAGATCCAAAAGTTCTTTTTGACTAATGCTATAAAAACGAAGTATATATATATGGCACTAGCGTCAAGGCTGCAAGTAAAAAACCCAACTTTTTAAGCTAGCCTTGTAAGCTACACTCCTGTCCCTAACAGTTGCAGTGCCACTCTGAGCTTAAAATCGCAAAGATCTGTCACTGCCACTGCGCCCGTCACGTTGAGACATCAGTCAGTTGACAAGTCTCATGTGCCTGTAATTTCACCAGCACCCTACCCTATAAAATCGGAACACGGTAATGCTGACATTACAGCTTGACGGCAGAAATAGGTAAGGTGGCAGTACTTCCCTGGACGAACTCTTTCTCAAGGAGCTTTACTGCTACTATCCAACTTTACAAGGACGCGAAAAACAGTTAAAGCTTCATATGATATTAAGCGTTAGGTATGTAAGTGTTTTTCGCGTTTCCTTGTAAAGTTGGCGTTTTTACTTGTACCCCTTTTCATTACAGCCCACATTACTTAATTACATTTATAATATAGTCTGATAATACAGTAAATTTGATTACACGTTACACTTATTCATTATGTAAGCAAAATCAATAACGTAAAGTATGTCGTACCTATCGCCATGGGCACACCTGTCTTCAACTCCCATAGTAACAGCTGACGTCACTAGTTATGCTAATGCAACAATGTTTTGATTAGACTAACTCTTGAAGCGCACATGCGATTGTTTAGGATATTCATCCAGCTAGACATCACGAACTGCAATATCGCTATCGTAATAAATGCTGAGCAAATGTATACTTTTCGACAGATGTAGACGTGACCTAACGCAAGTTTTAAATGTTTTCATAATAAGGTTCTTTATTTGGGTCGCAGGGAGCAAACTTTATAGTATTCTTAGAAATATAAAAATCTCCTCTTTATTTTTTTCTTTCTAATTGTCTACTAAAACGAGCCTATTCCTATTGTTCTTAAATTACGTCTTCCGGAGAGATATATTAATAATAATGTGCCAGAAAACCACAGCAATTACCTGGTCTCAAAAGTTATCTCTACTCTATAAGTACCAGACCAAGGAAATTATCAGAATCCTGGTTCGTTCGTTTCCCAAGTTGATCCTTCCGAGAATTGAATCCGAGACCTCATCTAGCGCCCACGGTGCTAATCGCTGCACCACCGAGGTTGTTGAATATTGCACGTTGAACGTGGAAAACCTTTATATCTCTGTAATGTGTCTCAGAACGCCCCACCCACAAAGTAGTGGAAAGTCGCAGACAGCACGATACGGCGTAATGGCCTATTAACATTTATTTACAATTGTTTCCGAGCGCTATGCTTGTTTCTAATCAATAACCTTTTGCTACAACAACAGACCAGAAAGAACCATACACGACTAAAATATGTATAAAAAATAGTGATAAACATACAAAAATAAAATTGTTTTGTTGTCTATCTATTTGTACGGTATGAAAACAGCTCTGCGGTTGAGAATCCAGTTGATAATTGAAAAATGAAACACCATTCGAGTAAAGATAGCGAACATCTCATCCAGTCATCGCTTTTAAATCATTAACAATTAGCATACTTAGTCTAATGTAACGATTATGAATACCATTAAGATGCTATTGAGCCGGCAACTGAATGGTGGGCACGCGATAACTACGAGGAAAGAACAGTGTACTATTACAACTTTGAAACACTTACGAAGATACATAACAACAGGACAGGTATACAAAGACACTTTAGATTTCAGCGCGTTAGTGTTTGTTTATTTTGATAACAGAACGAGTGGCACGCGACATGTGGGACAATAAACAATTTAAGATACTCTGATAAAATGAACGCCTTTCACTTGAGTGGGTACGCCGAATGCCGCTACCGTAAAATCCTGATAATAATTCTTAATTTTTTTCTCGGTTTCTGAGTAGTTCCCGTGTGAGTTGACACTTCCGTAGATGGCATGCGACAAAGTGCACTTAAAAGTACACTAAACTACCTCAGCTCGAATTGCAATTTCTCCCGTATTAATACGGTTCATTTTGCTTGGGTCGAGCGGCAGGGATCCAGTGTCTCTGTTCCTTTATTTCAGAATTTATTTTTTTACAAAGTAAATTAAAACCATTTGAAATATGCATATCGTCTAGTATAAGTGTTCTTTTTATTCAGTTGATGTAATTAAAATCATTGGTATTTGTAAAGTACCTATTGAATACAGGGGTTTTCTTGTAAAATTTCGAGGGAAGTTTGGGTTTTTTTCTATCTTGAAAATTTTTAAGAGTCGTGTTTTCACATCATATAGTAATCAGTATAAATCCTCAATTTTACTATATATTTTTGCCAAAGTGATTGATTCAACGCTTTCACTGTTATACGGAATTAACCAAAGCCATTTGAAGTTGTATAGACTCTTAAACGCAATTGATATTGCCGACTTAATTACCGTCGTAGATGATTTATTTCACGATAAGGACAAGAATTTTCTTATTCATATAAAAAAAAATCTGTAATTTATAACGTCAGCCACCGCTACACCGTTATGGTAAAGTAGTATGATCTAACTACTATGTAATACGTAGCTAATAATAGTTAACTTAGTCATCAACGGAAATGGAACTGCTTTAATAGCCATTTAAAAAAAGAAACAAAGTTACAAATATGAATCTAACGGTGCCTAATTTAAACAAAGTCTATCATAAGATCACATAGCCGAAGATATAATCTCGCCGGTCATTTGCAGAGGCCTAAGTGGTGTTAATCACCAGATTAATCATAGTGATTATTTCGTTAGAGCTTGCACTTAAGAGTGGTTAGTACATGCGATAATGAGATGACAGAGACTGTCCTTTGTCGACCCATTTAAAGTTCACATGGACACTAAGCTTAGTTCACCACACAGTCAGTGCAGTGAATTTTCAATGATTTAACTTTTATTTTTTGCCTTGTTTTCTTTCAAACAACTAAATTTTTAAATGAATTTCTATTCATTGTCCTTCGAAACTACGAAACGACTGCTGTGTAATAGTTTTTTTTACTTCAATTTCGGTTCGTATCGAAAATAAACCTACTGGCCCTTTTTGATTTCCGCCAATTTATTAGAACAGGGTAACCTGGGTCACCACTCATCCAAGTATAAGTCTATGTAACAATCGTCTTCCTTGTACGCCGGACAGCGTTTATCTAATTCATACTAATCTGATCACATGGTACGTCTAGGGGCAGATTCTTGAGAAGCTCAAGGCTTGATATAAAGTGTATCATTAAGTTTTAAGACTGCGTACCGTTTTTGTTAATATGTAGTTGAAATACTTTCCATAAACGGATAGGTTAGATCTTTATAAGGCTTGATTACATATATGCGAAGATGTATACTCAAATAAAAAATCTCATAAAAGTGATAATCTATTCAAATTAATGCAATTATATCATATAGCAAAGTTAAAAGGTAATCGAAACATAGACAAAATCCAATACGATGGTACACTTGTTACTCGAGACACATCAAAATCAACTAATGCGGTTCAGTGACCGGTTACATTTGAACGGATTCAAACTTATCACGTATTCACTGTTGTGTTTGTTTGTATAGCTAATTCGTATGATGGTTCGATTTAGGTAACTGTTACATTACGTCGTGTCTTATTCGTAAATTCTGTTAACAACAACTCTATTACTGATCGGTATCTTGGAAACGGTATAATTTGATTGATCCTTCAACAAGAAAGGTGTAGCTGAGACTTATAGGACACAAGTAATGTAGTATCAAATGTTTAGATTGGTTTTTGGTTCGAGGTTTTTTCCGGTATCTGACTGAACAATGACCTGAAAATGACTCACTTTTACGGTGGTTACGCGAGCACTGTTATCTTTCATGTGTGGACTCTCTGTCTAGGCAACCGTTTGTAGACAAGCAGGTCAAGTTTATGAATGGAAGTGTTATACTAATTCGAAACTTTAATCAACTTTCACTGGTTCTTCAATTCGCAAATTTACCGAATCTCTTGTACTTTCACAATGACAAAGGTTTAACTTTCAACGCGAGCTATTTAACTCACGGTAAAGCGACTATTGTTTCTTATCCAGGACATTTTGTTCTGCCACAATGAATAAATTATGTTAAGTTCTGAGGTCAATATGCTAACAACTCGGCGACGAGAATACGTATGTTTGAAGATGAACGGTGTCGTGACTATGTTTGAGCCTTTTCATAGTTCCAGCTTTTAAAGTGTGCTGTTTTTGTTTCAAGAAGTGTGGGAAAACCTAGTGAGATTTTACATGTTTTGTCACACCACTTTTGGCAAACAAATTAATAATTATTCATAATTATTATTTATATAAAATAGTTAATGACTTACCAATAAGGTTATTGGCAGTAACAAGGATGCAGCAAAGGAACAAAATAGCTGAAGTGATGCGATAATGCATCCGGAATACCATGTTGTCTATGACTGCTTTGTCGATCAGGTAACGGACTTTGACAAAGCCCGCTACCGCGGACACCATGCCAAATACCGCCATCTTCGACTTTGTTCAATATCTGTAAAAGAAAAAAATAAATTTTACACTTTATGCAAAAAACACTATACTTCATAGATATACAAAATCTTTATTAAAATATCTATCCAAATTAAAACAATTTCATTAACTAAATATATACTAAATAAGTACTGTATAAACCAATGTAATTAAATTTATAATGTAATAGAAAATACCCAAGAAACCACTGTAAATAAATCGCCGCCTAAAACACACGTGACAAGTGCCATGTGCTTCCAATACCAAATTAGAACGTAAACGGTGAACTTTATAACATTCAGTTTTGATTTCAATGTGTGTTACAGCTGTGCCGGCTCCTAGTTTAGACTTCACGTCTTTTCTTCCATGCGAGCGATGCTCGTGATTAACGTCGATGAAGTTCTTAAAAACTATTAGACGTTTCCCAACTTCTTGTATTGGAAACTTATAGTTTCCGATAATTAACCGTTAGACTAGAGCCAGTACAAGTATCTTCAAGTGCGAGGGCCATGTCTTCTCAATCAATGACCTCAACACATAATTTAACGACGTGCTACTTCTCGCCCACGCCCCGCATTAGGAACCCGCCGCCACTTTTTATAAACTAAGATTTTTTCATGATTTGACCACTTCCACTCACATGTGTACAAAAAGGAACCCAGTATTGATCTCGTCGTGTTATGAATTTACGGTTGAGTTGCTACGACTTTAAATAATAAGTGGACATGGACTACATACGATACGGTGTAGGAGACAATTCATCACAAATGGATCCAACCTTGGCTACTTCTTGATCCCTTTATCTACTTGACCGTATCGCATGTCCAACATGCGATATTCAGGTCGCTTGTTGGCAAGAAATTAATCCATCATTGCCACTGGTAACGTTAATGGCGCTTTATGTTCGTAACTCGTGCTTGTCCTTTAGTACATATCATGGTAATAGGAGCGTAGCGCAAGGCGATATAAAACCGGTCATTGAAATTAATCGGCTCTATTTTTTATTGCTCTTCCTTGTTCCCAATGTTACAGTCTCCTGGAAGGTATTTTTATGAAATTGCTAGTATAATCTCGAAATCGTGTTAGCATCGGCCGTAGTGAAGGCGAATGGTTCGTCGGCGCAGGGCATGTGGCGGGTCGTCGACCCGCCGCTGCTCGTGCGCCTCCTGCGTTTCCAACTGCCCCCGCTCCCCTCACTGCCATGCCTCCACGACCCTGTGCTGATGCATCGCTGGCAACGCGAATTTCACGCGGAAACCAGTTTGCGCGGCGACAATCGGCTCTGCTTTGCAAGTCGCGATCACGACAACCGATTAGTTTTGGCAGGGAAGATTTTGGTTCTTATTGTAACCTTCAAAATGCTACAGTGACTTTGTTCATAAAGCTATTCTAGTAATGGTATATACCCGTCTGATTTATCATATATGGTTTAAGTTTCGTTTGTTCCAATTAACAACAGATTCCTATATGCATGTGTTATTAGATCTTTGTGTGGTCTGATAATAAATTTTGGATTTCGTAAATCGAACAATGGTTGCTCATGTATTTGACTGATAGTAGGGCAAGCGGGGGAACGGGCGCGCGGGAACACGGCACATTCCACTGTTTATGACAGGCACAGACTCTCCTTGGTCCTCGTTCCAGGGCCCTTTGTATCGCTCTTTAACTGTATATCCTTGTTTCACTCGCTCCTTACCGTCGTCGGCCATTTATCAGAACCTAGCTCGACTTATTCGCATTCATAACTTCAACTAGAAAGCTTATTCTATTTCGAACATGTTTTTTGTTGTTATCATGTGGATTCGCCAATTTTGTTAGATACCAAATTTTTAATGACTAAAAGAAATAACCATAAACAATTTAAATTCTACCACTATTTTTTAGCAACATACATACATTCATCGCATTTTGTGAAAAGATCTAATGTAAATACGAGATTTTATATTTTACTTGTAAGTGACCTGAGCAATAATAATGATACACCGATTATAGCGTACGCGTTAGCAGCTGCCGTGCGTCTTGTACTTATTTCAGTCTGTAGGCACGCGTCGACGAGTCTTTGAATGGACACTAATTGCAGTGGACGAGAGAGTCCATCTTAGCTTCACACGTCCGCAGTCCCACACAAAGCCGACAACTCGTTCGTGGGAAAGGAATCTCGTATCGATACACTTCGTACAATAGCCTGGCAATAATCACCACCAGTAAAAGCGTGTCTAATGATAATAAACGGTCGATCCGATTAGGTAATATCTGCGGTGCGGTGAATGGCAAATTGTCGCCTCTGTTGTAATTTACGTGTAACACGGAGCTCGCCTGCGGCCACGAAGGTACCGTTCGACCAATGACGCCTCATCTCGTCTAATAATTGACTTCCATTGACGGTGACTGTATGTTCTTTTACGTCAGAGTCGATGGGAATTCACGGGTCATGTTTGTAATAGCTACATGAATTTGTAATCTATTATATATGCGTGTCCAGATAAGCTCATTGGATCGGCTGTGACGAGCCGTCACTTTGGTATCGTATAAAAACCGTGTGATGCGGAAATGCGCTTCGTGTGCTCTGTGGTTTAGTCCGCAGTCTGCACCGTTCAAATTTCATATTGGTTTCTCTCTTGAAAACTCATACTTCATGCTCTGATTAAATTCTATCAGTTTCGACATATCGAGATTGAGTTTGCGACAACTTGTTCAATAGAGGTCAAATGTACGAGTAGATTGTGTTTGAAATAGTTGTAAACAAATACACGCGTTGTAAAACTTATGCGGGTTAATTGATAGCGCTAGATAGATACCGCGTGCGTAATGTGACTTATCCGCTGTGAAGCAATATTGTATCTGCTTTTTGCCTTTGAATCTACTAACAATTATACCTATATTATATTAAAGGTTGGCTGGTACACTAACGTTTTAAATTCTTTGTTAAAATTTGTAATTTGAGTTGTATAAAGTGTTTACATACTATGGTACCTACTTGTTGCAAGCGGTAAATGGTGTTTTTTTTCTCGTGCTATATGAAATGTAAATTATCTAGGTGTTTAAAAGCATACAATACTTATTAAAATTAAAAGCAGCTGTTGGTTATAGTTGCTAAAGGGAGAGGTTATCGCCAGGCGCCTCTGGAGCCTCAGCGATGCAGGTGGTGTGGTGCACGCTCCGTGATAAGAATCCAATGACTGTGAACTGTTAAGCATGCCCCTTTTGTTTCGCCACGTCTGTACACTTAGATACTTCACTCTGGGAATCTCTTGATTTCCTAATCTACCTCTCACCATTAAAATAAAGAGAGAGGGGAAAAAATTACTTTGGTAATTTTATTGTACCAAAAACTATGTCACATCTCGTACTTACAAGTATCGTAAAAGCGATAAAACTAAGTGTTACAGGTTAACTTACTTCGACAAGATTACCCAATACTTGCTATCTATATTTGACGTTTTATCTAAATGTGTATGTACATAAGCCATTAAATATTCAATGCCATTACGGAAAAAAGTTCTTATGTGCCATTGTGTACTTGTTGATTGCAGTAATTAGGTGTTCAATAAAATTAGTAACAAATGACTACATAAAATGAAATTGAGAGTGACAACGTTGAAATATATTGAAATTGCATTCATCATATCCGGGTTAGCAGTAAATTAACCAGGTAGTGTGTAACTTGTGGTTTTTGTCCATTATTTGTCATGTCCTTGGCCGAAACATCTTCAATGAGAATTCGTGGACCGTGAAAAATATCGCATACGCTTCAAATCATGTATGGTTACCTACTTCTTTTGTCATCTATACCCTATTATACATATACTTATTGTATCACTACAACATGCTGGCAAACATTACTGAAATTGACGTGTTTTTGCCAACCAAACATAAACGTGGTCATAATTTGCCGAGAGTCAGATTTGAATACGGTTAACCTAGTAGTATTTGTGTCCATTCTATTCAAATCACTATTCCCGGTAAATGGCACCGCGTCCCTTCCCCCTTGCTCGGCGCACAGGTAAATGGGATCCTCGTTGCTACCTGTGGGAAACAGCCTCGTCCTAACACCTCTTATCGCTTTCGATTCATAACATCGTTACTACAGTTTGTTATTGCCCATCTTTTGTCTGCCTATTACTCGTTCACCATTCCTTGCGCACAAGAAAGCGGGCAGAATAAAAAGAACTGGGATGACTATGCACAAGGCTTTTGTTCCCGCACATGCCCATATGTACGCTGTCAAACAGCATTCCTCGCGTCGTCGATAGAGTTAAACTAAGCGCGTCTCGATCCACTCCACCAACCTTTTGTGACACAACTTACCTTTTTAAACCTAACTGTTATTATCCAGCGCCTCCGATTTCTCAAAACTTTACAATCACACGGCTTGTCTTTACACGACACAATTTACACAGCCTCACTATTACTAAAAGCACGTAATGGCATTAGTTTTACGTCATTATTATTATGGATAATATGTCATAAGATGCAGTAAAATGATTGGGGTAAAACGAGTGGCAGCAGGGGCCGGCAGCATACGAGACACCAGCTGCTCATGGGTCGGAAACACAAACTGAAAAGCAAAGCGCAGCGATCGCTCTCCACCGCGCTACGGCGCGTGTGTTAACTACCGAACTTCGAAGCGTGTGCGCAGTATAGCTTTCTCTTTCGCGCTCGTTACTCTGCCTACTCTGTCTTTGTCTATGGCAGCGAGTGCACAGTAGTCAGTAGCAGAGAGATCCGTCGCTGAACGAGTTCTGTCGAGAGGGTCTTGACTTGCTCCGTCTTAGTTGCGTTTTCTTTGTGGGCAATATTTTTTAAATTTCGTATGCCATTTTTTTCTATAACATGATGATTGCTGGTTGTAACAGCTGATATCGCTTATGGCCTTTAATTAACACATTAACGACTACTCAGTTTAAGTATGTTAATTAAAGTAAAATAATTTGGTTGTGAGAACTTTTAGTATCTCTAAATTTTTGTATTGTCTTTTAACGATAATGACTTTGCCAAAGTGAACCTTTACAGCGGTCAAATTGCATTCACAACTGAATAACCAAATGCGTGACGAAGAGATGGTATCAAACCTTAATAATTCGCATTGGCTCTAAATGAGGCCAAATTAAATGTCTTGAGCGAACGAGCTCAATTCAGCTGGCCGGAGGCGCTGTCATAGGATAGGCACGCCGAACATCTACCTGTGCGCCGGCGCATTGAAAAATAAAAAGTCTGGACTTTTGTTATTAGAGGATTCTGTATTGCTCGACTCTTGTGCGACGTGGGAGTTTGTTTTACTTGAGACGTCAGAAATAAAATAGCTGCGAAATACATTTATAAGCTTTTCGTGGAAGAAAACACAAATAATTATGCAAAGTATCTAAAATAAAATGTTCTAACCAAAGAGAAATTAAACAATTTTTTATTTCAATATACTGTAATGTCTTTATTTGAGCTATGAGTACAAATGCACCATTTGTGATGTGCTTTTTGTGAGAAGTGTCCAATCTCTGCGGTTCGAGGACGACTAACTTTTAGTACTACTGGGTCTAGGTTATGAAACTGTAACAATACTAGGAAGTATTGTGCTTAGTGAATAGATTAATATTATTGAAATTATTGTGTCAGAGATTTTCCAGTGGGTCCCCAAAATTGGAGGTGTCAAACAAGTCTTTCAAAAACTGGCAGATTTTATTTCTCTGTCGTTATACCGACAAATTTTAGTGAGTCTGCGACCAGGAGAATAATTAATGTTCCGCAGTTGAACGTGGTGTAACCTTATTATGGTTAAAGTTACGGTTGTTCTTTTACACCTTGAACTTGCTGCAACTTGTTCGGAATGAGTCATGTGTCCTTAAATAATGTTCGTTGACATCTTCAGCTCTTACGCCTTTGTAAACTTTTTATTATACTTTTTTTTTGGAATAATGCTATCTGTTATAAGTTTTTTTTAAATTTAAATTATATGGTTTGATTGATTATTGTTCAATGTAATTGTTATGATCAAAGTATATTTTGGGTTTTAACTTTTGTCTCTTAATTACGTACTTTTTACCTTCAAATGCAGCCATCGGCAAGGATCTGATGTAGATGTCGGCAGCGCTTTGTGGGTTGAACTTGGCTTGTAGGTATATCAGTATCAATAATTTAAAACTTTCATATTCACGATTGATAGGTGTAATATCTAATTCCTATCTACTTTTGACCCTAGGTGTGATGGAGCTAGTGTAGAGTGTTAGTTCTTTTAAATACTCAACTTAACGAGGGACTAAATTTATTTGGTCTGCCTATATTTATAAAATCCCGTAACTAAACGTCTGCGCTAGAAATTTTTGCAAAAACCGGACGAACCTGTTGATATCGATTGTCGTTGCCATTTAAGATATGTTTGGTGTATGTTTGGTAACTTAAGAACATTTATCAACTTGCTTTGGTGATTAAAACATTAAATAAAACATTTGCAAATGATTTATTAACATTTTTTCCGTAACATCATTAGGATTTATTTAAACAGGCTTTCTTAGGTGTTTAGTTATGCTAAAATTATCAATTGATTTATTATTATTTGCTTGCCGTGCGGTTTGTTATTACGAGTTAAAAATATTCACATTGTCAGCAAATGAGTGGTAACTCAAAAACGGGACGCTTGTGCGTCGAGTCGAAGTCTACCATATTTTCCCATAATGCGCTAGTATCAAGATTCCAGCAGCGCTGACTGATGTTATTCTGCACCAAATTGGTGAAAAGTGATAAGTTTAAACAACCATTGGGATTGTCATTTCTACTGATAACCTCGCACTAGGGATATCCAGTATCGCGGGTGCCATGGACACACACATAGACAACCACAAATGACACCCAAACTCGCAAGAGAAATAAATGTAGGTCGTACTAAATATTTCTCTCAGCTCGGGAATCCAACCCGGGACCTCTGCGTGGCACTCCAGTATGGTAATCGTTCGGCCACGGAGGTAGTTAGTACTAATCAAAGAAAAAACTATATTTGCCAACCTATCCGTTGTGGCATCGGCTTAGCCCCCTAACCTTTGTAATTCTAAAAGGAGTGTGACTCTATATTTAAATTTGTGAAGTTCGGGAATGCGTTGTGAAATCCTAGATTCACTCTTAACTTCGATTACATTGAGCACAGCAAATTTGAAAGGACGCTCGGAGTTATGTAAGTACTCATAACAGTTCCAGTTTGTGACTGCCCATATGTTTACGTCCAAGTTCGTGCTTCATTCAATGCATATTGCATGGCCGTCGTCGTGGTGGGCACATTAGCGGCGTATTTATGATTCTGTAAAACGAGCTTGCAAGTATTGTCAGGCTTGCTGTGTTATCTATGTTAATAAGTTAAAATTACAAATTATAAAGTATTTGTTTTGTCCTTGTAACTCTTAAACTTATGTGGGCTAGTGACACACAGTGGACACACTTCTTTTGCCTTCTCAATTCACTTCAAGACTTTGATACGCGTAAGTTTACACCTAATTAAAAAAAACAATGACGATTTAAGTGGAGGTTATTTATTTTTTTATGAAACATAAAAAAATTTGAATTAATGTTCTTAGAAAAGTCTTCACGACTGATTATAAAACTTCGAGTTTTAAATTCTCCAAATCATGGCTCATGGCCCGTCTAAACAATAGTCATAATTAGAACAAACAATAATAGTAAATTGACACATCGTATTCACTCATTGCGTGGGTCAATTACTGCCGAATGCCAGAGCAATATCGATTGTACAAAGGAGAATGGGCAAAATACAAGGGCCTTGGACCTGGAAGCGGCCACTTCAAAAACATAGTTTTTATAATTCTTTATGTTACGACAAACAATACTTAGTATGGAGTCAGAGTCGTATTTTGTGTGTAAAAAAAGTTATGACCAATACAATTGTCCAAGTAATAAATGAACACGTGTTACATTTTTGACAAATATACCTTTGTCTACTGGATATTTCTATAAAATAAAACAATGCTTTGTGGAGTCATGCCGCCGGGACCTAAACTAGCCCCCCCCCCCCCTCCCTCCTACCCTCTTATGTGCACGTGCATCCAGGTGCATGCGTGTTTAATTAACTTAGTTTAGTTGTTTGTTGACTTGCTTCACTAACAACTGTTCTGTGCTGTCGATTCTTTGCTGATCCTCATAAGACCTTGATTACTGTTTACCGGACTACTGATTTTGCTTTGCGATTTGTATCGGTGTTGATTCTTGGATAACAACTAGGCTTGATCTTGGACATTCTTGTTTAGTAAAGTGGTGTGTGCGTGACTGAAATGGAAACTTGCATTACATGTCACGTTTCAGTTCGAAACAGAAGACGTTATTCTCTCTCACAAGAAGTTCTTGATGCTAATCCATTTTTAATGGATTATATTGGTGACCGCGTGGATCCTAATCCTATATTTGAAAATAGAAGAAACTACATCTGTCGCCCTTGCTGGCAAAGAGCTGAACGTGCTCAATCAAGAAACCAACCACAAGAATCGGCTTGTGATGAAATCTCGACAGATCAGGTCCCTGTTTCTATACCTAATTATTACCGTCTGCCAAACACTGCTTCACGTTGTTTGTTTCCGGGATGTGAATCAGAAACGCACTTGAGGATTCCACATCGCATTAAAACTAAAGTTTTTTGTGATCACAATATATACATACCTGACGAGGCTAGAATATGCCCAGAACATATACGATCAAACCATTGGGAGATATTAATTGGTTCGCCTATTTTATTAAATTCATTTACCATAGAACAAGTCACGGATGTATTTGAAATGGTTAAGAGATCTTTACAAAAGTCTGCACATTTTAATTTCGAAAATATCGAAAATATTGATGCTGATGAATTATTTTTCTGGACTGGAGTTACACCGGCGCAGTTTCAACAAATTATAGAAGAGACACCTTTATTGACTCAAAGGTGTAAACGACCTAAAGTTGCTCTGGGCATCTACCTTAGTAAGCTAAGAACGGGAGAGTCAAATACAAAACTGTCTGATCTTTTTAATATATCTCGACGCACCTTTGAGCGCTTATTAAAACAATCAAGAGAATGTTTAAGCAACGATTTTGTAACGCGTCACCTCGGAATTGACCATATTACGAGAGGAGAAGTAGAGAGGAGAAACCTTTTAATACCTAATGCTATTTTTGGGAATCCAGAATCTGAAGAAGATAGAAGATTAATCTTTATATTTGATGGCACGTACATTTATATACAAAAGAGTTCTAATTTTTCATTCCAACGTCTTACATACAGCTTACATAAGTTTCAAAACTTGCTAAAACCATTTATTATTACGTGTAGTGACGGATACATAACTGACGTAGTTGGACCTTTTGCGGCAATAACATCTGACTCAACTATTATGACACAATTAATGTCAGAAGACTCGGTATTTCATTGGTTTTTTAAAGCAGGGGATGTATTTATCTTGGACAGGGGTTTTAGGGATTCATTACCAGTTATTGAATCTTGTGGTTACACAGCTCATATGCCAGCGTCAAAGCAAAACAATGAAACGCAGCTCTCAACTAGTCAAGCAAACAAGTCGCGGCTTGTTACAATTTGTCGATGGGTAATTGAAGCCATTAACGGGCGTTTTAAAAGAGATTTTAAATTGTTACGGCAGAAGTATTTTAATAGGGCCGTACCACACATGTTCCAAGATTTTAAAAATACCGCAGCCATTCTTAATGCTTTTCAGGAACCTTTTACCGATGGACCTTACGCAAATGATATATTAAATGAAATTCATTTGAAAATTAATGTAGACAACTTACTGGCCGACTACGTCATTAATAACAACTTAAATAGGCACCGTGTGAGCTTTGTTTCTATATCAGCTGATTATTTAACTATAAATGATTTTCCACAATTAGAAGAAAGAGATTTAATACTGTTTGCTTTAGGTAGTTATCAAATAAAGCTTGCTCGGTCGTATTGTAGCGAGCACTTACGAGATGGAGTGTACTTTATAGAAGTTATGGAAGATGAATCTATAGATATTCCGCAAATGCATGTAACTGGAGATTGCTATCTTTTGAGAGGACGTATTCAATCAAGACACACCAGAACACGAGTATATTATGTAAATATAGTAGTAAATAGGGAAGGCGTTGGAAGAGCGCGCATAATACAACACTATTGTACGTGCCTTACTGGTAGACGGACCTTGGGTTGCTGTGCTCACGTCATGTCGATTGTATGGTATTTAGGGTGGGCACGGCACCAAGGAGCTCTTAATCTTCCAGCATCATATTTAGATGAAGTGATAATAGACGAAGTAAATGAGTTTTGAAACAATATATTTTATTTTATTTCATATCTTTTATATTCCCTAAAAAATATTATAACAAGAAATACTGGACCAGATTCCAAAATTGTGTCTTAATTCCACAGCTCACAGAACCCTTTTAAACTTAAGACACCATTTGGGTAATCATTTTTAACATACACACCACACAAACAAAATTCCAGACAGAAGTTCAAATATTAAGTATCTACATTAAAAAATAAACATTATTCAAGATATTTCGAAAACTTGATGACTTACGTATTGGTGCCCATAATATTTTTTGATCGTATTAATGATATCTATTGATTGAAAGTAGTTTTTGAAGTGGCCGCTCCCAGGTCCATTTTGCCCATTCTCCTTTAAAGTATATATCAAGATTTAAATCGAATTTGTTAAAATGTCTTACGTGATGACGGCTTCTGCAGTCTGATATATAAAATAAGTACTTCAAATGGACTACTGTACTATTTTCATAGTTTTCAGCCTCTATTTCACTCCCTTTAAGATTTATTTTTGTGATAAAAAGTAGCCTATGTCCTTCTCTTAGGCCCTATCTATCCTTTTTATATCAAATTTGCTTCTGTGGTTTAGGCGTGAAAACGTAACAGACAGATATACAAAGTTACCTTTGTTTTAAATTTTTACTTTAGAAGTATTATTATTAATTACTTTGGAAGTAGTTTGGATGATGAACACTCCTGACAAGTCTGATAGATAGACAGGTATATTATTCATTCATGATATCTTATCCGTGATGTGGCTCGAATTTTCTTAGAATAATGAATTTTTCATCAGGGAGTGCCCTGAGTAATACTGTCCTATAAAAATAATGTTCATATACAAATATGAAGATGTCGGATATGTATGCACCATTTGGTGTGAATATGCAATGCCAGCAATTAATGATGAAACTTTATGAACTTCGACAGACAAGAAATCGATTTCAAATCTCGCTTCTAGTTGCTCAGTCTAAACAACTTTTTTAATTTTCATTTTGCAAGTTGCTGAGCACTAATGATTAAAAAATGGACTAGAATTAAGAAGCGCCCTCGTCTCCCGCGCATTGGGTGGCAACACGAGCAGTGCCAGACGTCAGGCTGTGTCGCTTGAATAACTGGTTTGGCGACCTTTTCGTTGCACGCCCGGTGACCGGACCCTACCATGGGTTCTACTCATGAATTACTTCTTCATTAGCAATATGAATCCGTGTTGCTTCGAGAACTGTGTGTTTTTGTGAGCTTGATTCTAACGAGTGCATGGTACCGTATGCCTTTTTTGAAAGAGCTATTCAGTACCAGAAGTTGGTTAACATTGTGTTCTTTTTCTCCATAAAGTACACCCTATTTTGTAATGTCTAGATTTGTAAATCTAGTGAATAAGTCGCGATAAAGGCTAAAAGCAATGAAAGCGCAAAAATCTGAAGTCTATTGAAAGGAAATGAAGTGAATGAGGTTTCTTTAAGAATCTTAAAAAAATCATCATAAAAAGTACAGTCAAATCGATTTCACTGTTCCCAGCACGTAGTAACGGCCGACTTAGAATGTTTGCATAATAAACCAGCAGAATTATTAGTGAAGCGGTACACCGACCCGTCTCTTTAGCGTTATTCTGTCGTTGATTAAATGCAAATGCAAATAGCCAAATATTTGCCGTCTCTTACTAGGCGTACGAAATTGTATGAGGTCCATAACGAATGGTTCAAGAAGCTTTACTCACTATCGTGGCGATGATTGTGCACATATTTCACAATTTCTGTGTCAACTTGTGGTTGTATTCCATTAATCATTGTTAGAGTTATAACGGTATATATATATAGTTGACGCAAAATGGATTTATACTTAATTTTGATTACGACTATAACATTATTGATTACTAGTAATGGATACTTTAAGACCGGTGGCAACCCAGTCGGAGAACGGTTGTTTCTTAATTATGAGGTTGATGGTTCGAATCCGTAAGGCGGCATGTAATTTCTAGTAGCAATTACCAAAGAAGGAAATATAGTGATGAAACTTGCATATCAAAGAAGAATAAGCCTTGGAGAACGTGTAAAGTCCCCAATGGCTTGGGCCAGTGTAGCGAAGTATGGCCTAAATTATGCGCCTCCATTGAGGAGACTCATGCTCATACTCATGCGGGACGTGTCGTGGGTTGACAATGATTAGATACTTTTACAAAGTTATTTAAGTTTCCTTTCAACATTGAGATAAAATGCTGTTATTTGTGTCCACGCTTTATCTACCCAAAGGCACAACGGTATGCAGCACTAAAGTTTTAAATAGAATCCATCTTTTCGCATCAAAGATTCTTGTGTAACGTCTATATCATACAAAAACAAATGTTCAAAGCGCATGAGCCTTCAAATTAACGCTGTAAAGTTCTTTATCGGCTGTATTATTGTAAAGCGGTGATTGTCCGCCAACTGATTGAAAGCTCTGTCTACATCGGTTACGTGACCGATTATCCCCTCGCTTAAAACGGCTTTTAAAATAGTTTTGTTAAACATATCATTATTTGCGATACAGCATCGTTGATCGAATTCGATGGAAAAATGAGAAACGTTTGAAGATTTACTGCAAATTGGACACGGACCTAATGTTGTTAGATGATTCTTTGGGTTTTATGAACTTGGTGTATGTTTAAAAAAAGCGGTTAACGGGTTGCTTGTAGTTTATGCCTTGTAACCTATAGATAGTATCCGGTTGTTAAATTCTTCGAAATATACATAAGTATGATTCACAATATTCACACGGTGTCTTACTGTTTTTTCTGAGACTTGTGTCGGCGCTCTTTTGCATACGTTTATTTAGTAGCGCTATTGGTATTCTAGAAGAGATCCTATTATGTGTTATTGCGGTTTTAGGGCAAGGATGACGTAGATAGTCTTGTTTGATGGTTTAAAATAATGACACTGTAATTTTGCCTGCTCACGTGGTGTCTCTTTTGCACAGTTTCTGCATATGAATAGGTCATCGACAATATCCAGAATAAACGTTGCAAAAAGTTCTTAGACTATCAATCGCTATAAATTTTAGATGCTCCGAGTGTCCCAAAGTGTCTTTGAGGATTGATCATAATTCTTCAAAAACGTAAAAACGCCTGACTTGCAGTAATTATTTTTTTTATTAAAATTGATTGTTTTTTTACAGTAAACTGGGCCTAGAGTTGGTTCCTAGACGCGGTGCAGAGGCGGTCGACCCGGAGGAGATAAGTCTTGTAGAGTTATACCGAGTTCATGTGGAGAGCGCCGAGCGAGCAGCCGCGGTAAGATGCTTTGCCTTATTATAAGTCTGGAGCTATTTGCATTGTAGCTGCTCTCCCGCATTGCTTATGAAGTATTTTCTCTCGTTTTTTATTCTCCTAGTTAAGGAGAAACAATATAGGAATAGGATTGTACTTCAACGCAGTAGATATTATACCGGGTGGAAAAAAAAGACTATTTTTTTGGATTATTAGCTTTTCGATTTCTAGCTCAGGTAACTTTTAAAAATATGTGAATGCAGTTATCCACATTAAGAAAAATAGTAGAATATTTAATTAAAATTAGCTATATTATCTATATTAAGCTATATTAATAAATTGCATTGATTTTTTTCCACTCTGTATATATAATATTTAAATGCAATGCCAGTAGCAATTTTTACTCGTATACAAGTAGGTAGGCGTGGTTGAATGTAGTCAGCTACATTCAACCACGCCTACCTATACAAAATCACTTTAAAATTTTGAACTCTATGGTGCCGCCGCTGGTTGAAAGGACGCTTGTGACAAAAACTCAAACCGAGAAAAAAATGTTTAAAGAAATTACATTAAAAATATCTATTTTTCTCTTGTGGTAACTTCATAACTTATTCACCTAGAAAAAAATAAAAATAGTGACAGGTCGGCCTTTTTTTACTGATCACATGGCTACTGCCATGATCAGTACGATAACAATTTTTTTGCAAACATTTCACATGCTCCCTTTCAACAAACGGCGGCAGTATGTAAATACAGTAAGGGTTCAAATTTCATCGAAATAATCTTGATACGTTATATACTTGTGGTTAGGGTATTGCCCCACCTTACTAGCAATATTTTAACAGATGAAACTTGGGTTAAAAGACTTTTCTCTGTGTAATACTGGAAATTAAAAAATACATCTTTCTATACATTTTAGGGCACAATCTGATCATCTTGTATAGAACAAAAAAGCAAATTGCGTTAGCTCTCTGCAAATGTTGTCTCAAAACCTGTTGCTACTTGTCCGCATTTACCAAAGATAGCTAGAAAGACAACATGAGGAAACCTTAGACCAAACTACAATAAATACATTTCACAGAGTATTATAAATATTTTAGACTTAATTGGTATTGCAAACTTATACTATTGAGCCTACAGTATTAAAGAAAATATAATATATAAACATGCTAATTAACGCTAAACAGGCTTCTTTAAATTATAGCAACATCACATCAATGGTCAGTCATACATTATATACAACTATTCTATAAATATATTCTTATCTATTCTTATCGTATCGATGGCACACGATATTGCTTGCCATCGTGGTGAAAGGATTTGTCAACCAGCGTAAGGTACTCGCCGATTGTTGCCCAGGACGCACCAGACGTACAGGAAAGGATGGTTACGTCATGCGGGGAGACTCGACTGTATTTGATTGAAACTACAAGATTTTGCTTACGTATGATTTAGAATCTGTGTAAGTTATCTTGAATATGATAAACCAAGACCTCATCTCATCATTATATTTAGTTTCTTGATCGTGACTACAAAATGTCATTTATGTCACAAAAATGATCTCAATTTGTATAATTACATGTTTACGGGTATACCGTACTAACTTTAAATATTTATGTACACGAGTAAAGTTAGCGTAGCAGCCAGAATCAAAACACAATATAAGCATTTACTAGGCATTTGATTTAGTTATTGCATTAGAAAATTTTGATTGAAATTTGATATTTTGTTTGACTAATTAAATTAATATAACGATTAAGATTTTCAGTACCACTAAAGTTCCACTATTCACTAATTGCCAATTGAAATAACTACTAATTCAATTTAACTACTTTAAAACTTATAGCAAGTGTCAAATACTTGCTATGTTTTGAAGTGGTTAAAGTGACTTAAAAGATTTTTGACTGATCACGAATTAGACTAGGTGTGCGTCAGTAGGTTTTTAAAGTTTCAAAAACTCTGATAAATTGCAGAACTTAGAAGCGGCTGTCTCCGCCATTAGGTGAGTACTTACTACGGGAATAGTATTCCGTTAAAAAATATTTAAAAAAATTTGTCCCTTGCTAGGTTTTACAATGGGGCAGCGGCAGTGTATAATATACCTTGAATATGTGGCCGGACACAGTGAAACTTTACTTATTTGGTTACATATCTTTACAACTTGACAAATAATTATGAAGTATTATGCCTTAAACGAGTTTGGTTAGCTTCGCTGGTCAATTGCGGTCTGCAGAGGTCCGTTTAATGATTGGTCCAATATCAAGTGCTCTAATTTGTATAATTGAGCTGAGAATGTCGTCTGATCTCTGATGTCCTACTTTTGTAAGAATCTGACCTAAGGACTCTAAATACGTGATTTGTTCTGAACTGAATAATTTTACTTTTAAAAACTACCAATGAGAAGGTGTAGGTGTTAAGCATAGTACAGGAGAAGAAAAGCTTATTAAAGACTAGACTAGACATAGGCGGAGCAAGTCGGTGACGAAGTTATTTAGATCATACAAGGGAAATAGTTAATGTATCAGAAAATCAAAGTCGTCGCGCTCGCGAAACGGACGAGTCCGAGCGGCCTCAGGCCGACGACGCGCGTGGCGGCGCGTATTGAAGTATGAATGGACAGCTAGGCCGCCTTTGAAGTAGATATTATTAAAAAATATATGTTAATTTTCTATAGATGCCACTCACATTACTCCTAAGTCTGCAAATCGTGACATAGTTACTTCAAAACTAGCGTCGACTACGACGCCTGTGTAAGGCCGGCCGACTAGTAACAAGATAATATTTCAAATATGGTCATGTACAAGAATGATAGCAAGATTGAGTTTTTACCAGCGGGGAAGTGTGTCGCGATTTCTGCGCAAGCAGTGGCTTGTTACTGTATTACAACACTTGGACATATAGAGGACGGATAAAACAGTTGATTTTTGACAATTTAATAGGCCCATTTTGACAGCTAAGAAATACCATAAAATGAAACTTTGAATGAAATCAACGAAACAATTAACAAATGGTTATGAACTTATATTTTAAAAACTTTCATTAATTCCATTTTGCATTACATAGGACGCACATTTCAAGTATTATTTTGGCGTAAACCCAAAATAAAATGTAATTTCGAATTACTAGGAAACTATCCAATGAAATTACATCCTCAATAATTTTTTTTTTAATTACAATGTTGTAACCAATTGAATGCGGAATTTTACCGACTCAATTGTAACAAAAATACTAACTTACTTAAATATTAAAATAAAAAGTGCCAGTACCTAGAGTCCTAAAACCAGGTCTCATTTACTTACTTTTTTACCAAATTTTGAATGGGTTGTACTGATTTAGACCTAGCAGCATTCGGCGTAGGTACTTCTTGTAAGTAGGATTTGATTCTGAACTTTTTTTGTTTGCTATAACGTTGACCTTACTACTAGTTATTTAATAACCTTTATATTGTTTAAATAAATGTTAATTGTTACATATAGAACTTCAAACCCATAAACGATCACGAACTTATATATTTTTAATAGATTTCTTGTGAGAGTCATCCCTAGTAACGTTGCGATGACTGATATTAAAAAGACCATTTATATTGTGACAACTACTGGCAAAAAATCAGGAACTCCACATGATAGAAAGTAGTTACCGCCTGCTTGTACACATTAGAGATACTAAGGTAGTATTGTAAATAACGTAAGTTCTTAAATCTTCTGTTATTGTGACATAATGCTAGCCCTAATGGCTGGTTATGCATAAAGAACTCTTCCACAAGTTAAACCTAATCTACCTTAATCTAAAAAGTTATACTTTGTCCGCACTTCAATTGATATGGCGTACTTATTAAAAAATATACACAGTATATTTATTTTTTACGAATAAACTCTACACAATAAGGAGTAGAATATTATTTGTAAAAGTAAAAATGTTCATATTTAACTATCTTCTACGAAATAACAATCGATTTAAATAAAGATATAATTGAAATATTTCCTATTTCAGTGGCGAGGTACACTTCGACGAGCAGGCGGTTCAGGCAGCAGTTTCAACTCAGGCACTCTTACAAATGGCACTGCCAATATCACCACAGTCCAATCACATCATCTCATGTGCAGCATGCGTGACTTCGGTCACACAGCTGGCGGAGACGAGGCAGAACTTCTTCTATGGCTCCACGACGCGCGAAGAGGTCAACCTTTATCAGAAAGATTCCGAGTTCGGATAGCTAGAGATGGATTTTCCAACTATGTGGATAGACTACATGCGAATAGCACTTTGTTTGCTGTAAGTAACGTTCATTTACATCTCTGCAGTACTTTCTTTATCAAATGAATACTGGGACCACGTCGAATATTCTCTAAGAGCACATGGCTATTTCATGCTCGTCCTTTGTCCGTTAGGTTGAAATGTTTATTTCATCAGACAGCTATAACCCAAATTGAAAGCCAGCTTGACGTTCACCGTGAAATGTTAAAACCAATACATTTTTGAAACCCATTAGACTTCAGACATCAAAACATATCACTCGCTATGTTTCAAAATTTAAAATTTATAAGATTTCACAATTTCACTGCGAATTCTCAAACTTTGCTTTCGAGTTTAAGCCCCTGTATAACTTTTTTTTTAAGTTACCTTATATATGTTTCATGTTTATGCTAGGACAGCGATCACAATTTTTGTGCTTGAAGACATTTTTACACAATGTACGTGGACGGTTTGAACTTATTCCATTCGGCCTCCAACCCACATTATGAGCAGACTCTTGACCTCTTAATAAATTGCTAGTGTCATCCACACTTGCCACCTACTGATACAAACGGTTCTGTTATTTGGTATGCAAGCTGGTGAGTGTTTCAAGTCATTACTCCCGTGTGTACATAGATTGTTTTAGATTGAAATAGGAGGAATACAAGATACTGTACAGAGATTTATCACAAATACATAATTAATAAAAGTGTCTCAATTTTTGACCTTATTACTACCTGATTTTTGGCCTTCTATACTTCTCCGACAACTCTGTCTACGGTTTATAATATTTAATCAATCACGAACGTCACTTCACTCAGCTCGCAAATCACTGTGATTAGGGATTTACCACACTTATCGACGCGGAATCGACTTAAGGGCGATCATGTTAACCACACTTATCGCATTAAGCCGATTCGCCGTCGACGCGGACGTACAGGCGTTCACGCGGCCATTCGGACGCAGATGCATGTCTGTTAATATGGACGCGACCAGAAATTCGCAGGAAGCATATTCGTTGCGGACGTATGTGGTGTCACGTTGTTCGAGCCGATGCGAATTGCGCAACGTCTTTTTCGCTCTTATTACGTGAACATAAGCTTTTGCTGGCCGGCTTAATGCGTTCCGTGTCGATAAATCTGGTAGCAGAAACAAAGCCATGCCATTATGGCTGTCAAATAACGGTTATTGTTATTTGTCGTGGTTTACACCTCAGCTACTTGGCTGCATTGTATTAATATATATCTTATTACATCGATTCTCTCATCCAAACGCACGCTTGTCTTGATGTAGAGTTATATATTACAGCAGCTGCAAAATCATTAAAAGAGAAAACTTTATCATACATAAGTGACAACATTAAATCTGCCATGTAACCTGCGATTAATTATGCTAATATGGATTTCTTCCAGGACCTCTCAGTAACAGATCTCAGCCGCGAGCTCTGGCTGGTGGCATGGGTGGTTCGAGTGGGTCGGTGGTCCGGCGCTGGTAGTAGTGGTACTGGTACTGGAGAACGAAAAGGGCCAGTCGCGAGAAGACCACTGGGCGCTGGAGTGTTACCTCTTACTGAGTTCTTGAGACAACCACCGCAAAGTTCGGTGGAAAAGGAATATACGTTCAAGGTAACTTTTAAAGCAAATAGGATTTTGTAGAAGGGATATCGATTTTTTTAATGAAAAAATAAGTGCTCATTTGACCTCTATATCACCTAGGAAGCGACGATGAGGTTGTATTTTTTAAAACCTACCCTAACCCTATTTGTTAAAACCGCCAATTCAGGTTACCGAATATATGCGTATGTTGTTGTGATAGAATAAAGAAATGACAAAAATTGCACGGAAAATAAGAGGATAAACGGCCAGACAAGTGGATTGAGGCAAAATATTTTGGCTACTAAGGATTTCTCGTTTCTCGACAACCTGTACAACCGAGAGAAAGCTTTCTATTACTCAATTAACAATATATTTTTCATTAAATTGTTTAGAATATCGACGATTTCTTTCTTTTCCCTGTTCACAACAACAACTTGCCTGAAAAACTACTAACTAAAATTTATTTCCTTCCAGGTATATCAGTGTGAAGAGAAAGATTTTCATCAGTTACACGATATCCTAATTAGAAAACAAACCAATAAATGTAATATTTTACCTGGACAACCAAATTATGGTAAGTTCTTTCCTACACTAAATATGGCTTATGGAAACTAAATACAAATATTTACTAATGAATGATACACTTTAAGGAAAAAACTTAAGTGCGTTTAATTAATATATATTAAATTTTGTGATTTCCGTTTTACGAAATAAACTATAATATATAAAATGTTATTTTTGTAGTACCTATGTTGAGAAAATGTTTTTAATTCCGTAGTAGACAGTATTATAATGTAGGCAAGCTAATGATTTTTATTCGTAAAGTTATTCGTATCAAGAATTCATTTAATACAACTTAGTTAATTAAAAACATTTATCATAAATGAAAACACTTGTTAGCAGAAATGTCAAATGAAACCTTAATCTTCGAAGCAAAAATAAACTTGCGACCGCTATGCTCAGACTTAATAAAAGCACGTCATTTGTAGGGCACTGTATACGATTTTATAATAAAATTCCAGAAATTGTACAAAATTTATCTGAAAAAATGTTTAAAGTTCATGTTAAAAATGTACTATAATTAGAAAACCTTATTATAAAATCAATGATTACATAGATGATACGAACGCATGGTGTACTTCCATCTATTGAATGTTTGTGATGATACAAAAAAACCATTATTCTTAGGTGCAATAGACCTGCTAAGGATTAGTGGTTTTTTGTTTAAAGTGACGATTTCAAGTGCAATTTCATTACCTACGAAATAAAGATACTTGATTTGATTATCATTAATTACAGGTTTCTTACGGTATGAGCTCTTTTTATTTTCCCGATATTTCGGAACGGTTACACACTCCGTGGGCACGGGTAGACACAGAGTCAACCCATAATTGCAAGCCTTAAAATCTATTTCTCATCATATCACACATTTTATTCGTCATTGAAGTCCATGCCAAGAAATGTGAATTTAAAATCTGAAATCTTTATCAACAGTGACGCGCCATATGAAACACTCAAAAATATACAGGGTGATGAAAAATAATATTTTTTTCCCTATGTATCAGAATCACTAACAGAACATGTCCATCAAAATTTAAAGTTCTCACAATAATTTTAGCGCGTAAGTAATATAAAGTACTTACGCAACGAAGCCTACCTCGATGCGAGAGGTGCGGGTAGGTGAAGGTCAATGCGTATCACCGCTCGCAGAGTACTTTCAGTGCCCTAATAACCTGGAATCGGGCGCGCGCATGATTTGTTATTCCCGTTTACGTATATGTTACGTCAAGTCTCATGCGCTCTAAAGCTTGTTCCTATAGTTAGTGCTACGAGATGATAGGTTTGCACACCGAAGGTTGGAAAGCCTAAACTCATAGATTATGAATGGAGAGCATCCTCGCCTGCCAGTCAAAACTTGGTGAACTCAAGGCTTACTCACTGATTTCTACCTGTGGGTTGAAATTAAGCGCCGTGTTTAGTTGAATAAGCTCGTAAGCCGTGACGAGCTAAAAGCAAACAATATTGGTGTACTTCAAGCTGTAAAAAGCGATTGTGCAGTGTTAAGACTGATGTTGTTAATCATACTGAACTCTGTATAAAGCGTGAAGACACCAAATGACAACAGTTTCAACAATTATAAAAGTACTGATAATTAATAAACAATTTAATTTTAATTTAATTTATTTTTAATTTTTTTCGCATTTTGACAATGAAAATTTGTATTTTAACAGTTTTAAATACATGAAATTATTATGGAAAATATTACTAAACTCAATCGTTAATATAAATTTTGATAGGAAATATAAAATAGATTTAGAATAAAGTATTTGTAAAGACTGACCGGTCGGGATGACAGCTGCATTGTTGTCACATCACAGCTGTGCTACCGCTGCTGTCGCATGCAGAGTCGATTTTTGTAGAAATTTCAACCGTCGTCACTTATTTTTTTGTTAAATATAAAAACAAAACAGAAGACGTATACTTTAGTTTTAGAATAAACTCCAATACATAATGTTTACTTATCACCCTGTTTGCACCGTACGAAATATAGGTAATCTAAGCCATTTTGGCCAGTCTTGTATCCTTGAACGATGGTGATGATATTTTACTATTTATTATACGTTCTTTCTAAAATGTCACTCATTGTTTTATCAACTTTACAGGCATCGTAGTAGCACTTCGTCTTTTATCCAATCAGGGTAGCATATCAGAAGCAGTGGGTTCTGGAGCCACAGTTACCGCCAAACGAGGGTTCCCAGACGTCATCATGCCAGGTGACGTCAGGAACGACCTTTATCTCACGTTGGAGAAGGCCGAATTTGAACGTGGAGGAAAGACCACTGCGAAGAATGTACTCGCGACTGTCAGTGTCCATGACTGCAAAGGAATGATTATTCAAGTGAGTATATGTTACCGACCAGGGCCCTAACCCTGCTAAGTCGATAAAGTATCAATGGCAGGATTTGTACGTTTGGTTTTCTGCTAATAGTTAAGAGTAATGTCTTGTCAATGACTAGCCATCGTGCTACTATTCTACTGCCATTGCAATTTTTTGGTATTCTGCTCTTCAGTGGCGAGTCCATGGTGATGGTACGTTGATGACGTACTCCCCTAATTATATATGATAAAAATAAAATACCTTTAAGTTGAAGACTAAATTGCTGTTTGAACGAGATAAAAATTAAGATACGCATATTTCCATGGTAGTTTTACTAAGGCAGCATCGATCGTCAGTGATTGAATGACACTCTATTGACACTCAACGGCCATTGCAACTAGATTTTAGCAGAATAACAAATATTTATAATCTCAGTGGAGTTTCAATGTACTTTACAGTTAGTTTAAAGAAAACTAGCAGAATTGGTGCCCAGCTGACCAACCGGTTAACTCGCAGCAAGGAAAAGTTCTCAATTTGTGTGCTTTTATTTATGTACACATTATAAGAAAGTACCCTTCGAATATTTTAAACCTTGACCGCCACCGACAAAAACTAATTTCGTTACCTAGACGCCAAGCCTATATAGTGATGTGACATGTTATGTATTTCCACCTTATATTTATTCTATTCTTCTAAGTCAAAGAAGAACATAACTGAATATAAAATGCAATTATGAATGCATGTTTAACTAGAGCACACAAATAACACAAGGAATATATCTTAGTATTTATTTATTAATTTCAATTGAATTGAATTTAACGGATTCATTGACATTTTAAGGCGTCCTTGGTGTATCAGCTAAGTAATGTAAGACGCTTTAAAGCGTTCACGGCGGTCATAAAGTTATGAAAATAGTCCGTTAGACAGTGTTGGAGCTCGCTGCATGAGCACGGACTTGGTCGATATCACGCTGGGACAGCGCATTACGCTGTGTGAAGCGTGGTCTTCTGTGACCTAATCGCTTTTAAAGACAATAATGTTTTCCTATTCGTCACATTCCTTTCCTTTTCAGGACTGTGTTTGGGGTGCAAGTGGCAACGGATCTACCTCATATGAATCCTTAGTGCTATACCACAACAACAGCCCTTCGTGGGGCGAGCAGCTGCGGCTCACTGTTCCTCTTGAGAAATTTACTAAAGCACACGTTCGCATCGAATTTAGACATTGTTCCAGTAAGTATTGGTAGAAAAAAAGTTAAAGAAAACAATTCCTTAGAATTTTTTTTTTTCTTTTAAATAATTACTTTTCTACTGACGACAAACTGCCTGCATCGGCATATCATAGAGTTAAAGTAATCTAAAAGCCGATATTTTTTTTTTATTAACAACCCTGGTGGCCCAATGCTTTGCACTGTGGGCGTTGAATGTGGAGGTCCCAAGTTCGACTCCCGGTAGGAGAAATTTAGGAAATTATGTTTTCTTAATTGGTTTTTATCTGCGTGTTCTGGATTGCTTTGGTACTCAAAGTACAGGGACTCCCCTAGTTTGAGACCACATTATTATTATTATTAAAGGTAATATGATTTTTCTACAACTTGGACAAAGCCGATTATGTATTTTTTTCTATGTAGCGTAAATTTGTTTTAGTTACTAATAAAGTCATAAAACATAATAACATTTTTTTCTGTTTTTAAAGCGAGAGACAAAAACGAAAGGAAGCTTTTTGGATTCTCTTATGCAAGATTGATGGAACCTAGTGGTGCAACTCTTAGAGACGGCGCACACGAATTTTTTGTGTACAAATGTGATGATCCTTCCAAGTAAGTAAAATGGACAAACACCTGTTTACTTTTTGAGACATTTATTACATATTTAGATGCATATGAAATGTTTTATATCTTAGGCTGGCGTCAGCGAGCTATCTAAATCTACCGTCGTGTGCCAATGATACTTCCCGGCTTGGTTCGACCAATGGCATTGTCCCTTCGTTCCAGAGGAGCTCCAAAGAGAACTGTGTAATTAACACTCTCCTGTGTTCTACTAAGCTCACTCAAAATGGTAAGTTGTCCTTGAGATTTGTTCAGTTTTAAACAAATAAATAAACTTGTTAAGTGATTTTGGCAACGAAGCCCTGATGTAAGCACGCTTTATGCTGTTTTTGCGTCTCTTGCTACCATCCTTACTATAAATACACTACAAGCAAATAATATTACCGCAAATCTTTACGTATAGCTGTAATGTATACAATGAAAAACCTTTGGTACCAGGATTTGGTACAAATGGATGTTGAGTATTTTATGTTTAGCAGTCGGCAATCGATATTTTTGATTAACCACTCAACCAAGGTATCGAGTAGTTATTTTTATCAACGGTGGGTCTGTTATCGGTAAACAAAACTAGTGCATTTTAATGTACAAGTAACGCCATCTGTCGAAGATTGATAACACTAATTATGTAGTAATTAAAAATAAATGCCTTAATTATTTAAATTACTATTAGTCGCTTAAATGTATTTTCTTTTTTCTTAGCAAACAACACTGCTCAAGTCGAAAATAGGCGGATATTACTTTTGTACGTTACTTATGTGACAATAAACCGCGAATCAATCAATAGAAAATATGATATAACTAACAAACACATTTACAGTATTGTGTTAAAGCACCTATTACTAATAATGTATTAAAAAATCTTGCTTACAATAAGCGACGCATTGCTGTTTACTTGGCAGGTATAGAGTGTGGTTAAAGTACCCAAGAATGCACACCCATATCTAAATATATACTATAAGATATCTAATAGAATTTAATTCGATTGAATATTTTAAGAGTTCAAATTCCCTCAGGGTATCTCGAAGAAGGTTTCTAGATAATTTGAAGTAAAAATGGGCACAACTTTATTAGTAGATCACAAGAGTGCTTTGAGAAACTATCTGTAGGTAGTGTTAAGAGTGATTCTTATCTTTTTTCTGAAGTAACCCTTCTACATGCTACAAGACCATTTGTAGAATGTAGACAGTTTTTATTTAGTCTTGTAGATAGTTTTTAAATAATTTATGATAGTTTTCTTAGTAATGCTATTTTAAAACCAAAATACTAAAGCGTTACAAACATAGGACGTAATTCTCTTAATACTAATAGATTTCAAGTTTAATGGTTTACAAAATATAAACTATCAAAATTGCAACATGGCAAAATTAAAAATATTTCTGACTTTTTCGCGCAATGTTTAATCGGTTAGAAAGCGCAAATTGACGTGCGACTTTAAATACATGTGAAAAGTGATGTAAAACGTGTCATAAAAGTAATGCGCTCGCTAAATTTTAAATATTTATGTATAAAATATAACGAGTTCTTAGGTTTTCGCGATTGTTACACATAGGAAATGAAACTATTTTTCCGGATTTAAATCGCGTATATTTGTTTTTTCAAACAAACCGACGTTTCGGGCCCTTTACAGGTCCCATGGTCACGGTTGACTGAGGTGGTACAGTCTTCAACCAGTTATGTCTAATATTGATGCAAACCACCCTATTTTATCACTATGGTTACAATAGTCATTAATTAAATACACTTTAAATACACAAAAAAAAAACAATTGGAAAAAATCCAATTTGTCGCAAAAAAACGTTACTCTGTATAATTATATGGAATGTGTTATAATATGACTAGAACGGTGGATAAATTTCCTATCATTTAAATATAAGGAATATTTTAATGACATACCTAACTTATGATGGAAGAAAAAAAAATTTCATTACAAAATTGAGGTTATTTTTTCACGCCAACCACATTTCACACAATGATTTCATTGTATTCTCTTGATAGACGGCACAATACACATAGACAACATTGAGGTACAGTAGTTTACTCGCTCATTTCAATTGTTTTTATCATTTCACAACACGGAATTACTTCACAATGTTTGTTTATTTGTCAACAAACAAATGCCGGCCATGACCGGCCCGAGCGCGAATTACGACTATTGTATCCAGCGTTGCCAATTTGTAGGGAATTCCCCAAATTGTGGGGAGTTTCAACTAGATTGGGGATTTTGTGGGGATTGGCGCTATGTGAGGAAAATAACATTTTATCATTTTGTTTAATCTATCAATTGCTGATGCATCGCTAGTTTCATCGTTAGTGTTAGAAACACTTGATGGACTATATCGACGTGTTATTCAACATCGCACATCCCTCGTATTATTAACAAGCAGCTTGAATAGAATTATTATTAGAGCACTTGGTTCTGAATTGTAAAATTACCAGTCGCTTAGGCTGGTCCCCGGTATGAAGCAAAACGAAATCAGCTATTGATAAACAAAGTCGAGCAGTTAGTTACTTCCATAGCACAACTTACCACTCGTCAACTTTAAATATTAAATATAGGTCGAAACTCATTGATTATTTCTAACGTTAACATAGTGTCACCAAATGCACAACAAATAATCAATTTACTTAATTTTGTAAGGCAAAGAAAATTTATTTTTTGTTAAGACTGATTACAGATTAATGTTGAATCTAATTAATATTATAATTATTATAAATGCCTCTGTGGCCGAACGGTTACCATGCAGGTCCCAGGTTCAAATCCCGGGTCGGGAGAAATATTTGTATGGCCTACATTTATTTCTCTCGTGAGTTTGGATGTAATTTGCGGTTGTCTACGTGTGTGTCCATGGCACCCGCGACACAGGGTTTCCCTAGTGCGGGCCTATGTTGAGTGTGTACGTTACTATTATTATTATCATATAGTGATTTTTGGGGATTTTGAACAATTGGCATTGGCAACGCTGATTGTATCGAATGATGTGACTTAATATCCAAGGTTTACCACCTCCACCAGATCTTTTAATATTTTTTACTTTATCCATTTTGCATGAACTCTTACAACGTCCAATAGAGTAAAAACCCTAATTGTAATATTTTTTAAATAAAATCTACTGAAGACGCGCTATAACGTGTTTGTCAATAAGTACAAACACTACAGAAAGTCTATAAATTAAATATAGCTAGAATAAACTTAAGAACACTAGTTTTTAGAGTATTAATAGGCTTTACTGGATGTGTATAGAACAATTTTATTCAAAATAATCAGTTCTTCTACAGATGAACTTAAAATAAGGACTATAAGAGTAAATCTTAAGAGAGATTGCACTTAATTAAGTTGTTTGGTATTAAGAAGGTGTTAAAATTTTGACTTGAGTGAAATAAGTCTATAAGAACAATTTCTTTTTTCTAAAACCATTTATAGAGAACTATTATTTAAATCTATACCATATTAAGACTGTTTATAGATATAACAGTTTTAAGGCTTATAAAGTGTGCTCCTCGGGTAATAATAGTTAGGTCAACACAATATTGACCGTATTTTTCAGAAATTTGGAGTCTGCAGTAGGCTAATGGTTTGACCTACCGCCTCTCAAACAGAGGCCGTGGGGGCTCGCACCTCTGAGTTTCTCGGCATTTATATGCAAAATTTAAATATCATGAGCTTTTCGGTGAAGGAAAACATTGTGATGAGACAACCACGTCGAATAAGGTTTAGAAAATCGTCGGAGTACCTTCATAGGTTGATGTTGATGATGATTTTTCAGAGGATCTCTTAGCTTTGCTTCAATGGCGGGCTCGACCTGAAAAAGTGCAGGAAACTTTGCTGCGAGTTTTGCGGCTCGGCGATGGACTGAGTTGTGAAGAGCTAATCAAATTCTTAAGAGATGTGTTAGATGCTCTATTTGCTCTGTTCTCCACTGAAGACGGTAATAGGTAAGTTGGTAACTTTAATTTTCTATCCACTTACAAAACATATGTATACATATAGTTATATTATGTTTATTAAGTTCATTGAATCTCACGATGTTTTGCTATAATGATTTTCAATTATTTTTTTGTGAAATTACTTCACTGGTTGTTTTATAGTATGAAGCGCAATCTGTGAGAAATCTATTAAAGTTTTTTTACGTAGGAAAGTCGTTAAAAACCAAAAAAACAAAGATTGCAACAAGCGCTGAAGAATTCGTAAGGTCTGCTGGTTCGTGCCGTAGCTCACTTGAGAAAGTGTCAACCACGGTATGGTGAGGACGCTGGTTCGAATCCAACCAGATCCAATGATTTTTTCTTTGTTTTTGATCTTTGTGTTAATTATTTGATATACGTAATAGTTAACCGGTCTTGAGTTCTCTTACTGAACGACAGAACTAAAAAACTGCTAGCTTCACGTTTCTGGGTTCAATAATAAAACATTTTTGTTCTTTTTAGTACTCCATACTCTGGCACGGTGTTTCTGGTACTAGTGTCGATCTGTAGTCTTCTGGAAGAGACTCGTTTCCAGCACTTCCGACCGGTTCTTGACGTTTACATCGAGGAACATTTCTCAGCTGCGCTGGTTTACAAGTAAGCATGAAACATATTTCGGTATTGCTTTATGTAATTATATGAATTTATAACAAGTTATGCTACATCAAATGGAAACCTGGTCACTATTTTTTAATTTTACCAATAATCTTTAAGCCGACCACTATAGGTAGACGGAATTTGAGGCACTTAGGCGAATTTCAATTTGCAGTGGGCAACATAAATATGGTGGGATTACGTGAAGTATTATAGTTACTTAAAAATTCAGTTCAAATTCAATTAATCTTCCCAAGTCCATTTTTTAAGATCTCTTAAATTGTGTGTGTGAGAGAGATATAAGTAGAAATACTCGTGATTTCTGACACTTTTAAATAAAGGAAAACAATTTGTCTATTAATGAATCATTCAACTATAGTGTATTCCAATAGAATTGAGAGTGGACGTAAACAAACCAGTTGGGTTAAAATTCTGGAGAAATCACTTCTGGATTTTTATCTTATTTGATTTATATATTTTTATCATATTCTGGATTTATGTCCACTCTAAATTCTATTGTGATACACTATAGTGTATTCCAATAGAATTGTTTGTTTACGTCCACTCTCAATTCTATTGGAATAGACTATACCATCTTTTGTTCGTCAGCAAAATCGGATGTTTTCTATTTTTAACACATGGAGGTAGCATTTACACCAATGTAGGATCAAGTCTATTCACTCCTACTAACCTGTAAGATTTGAGACTCGCTTTCAAATCGTTTATAAACTCGGATGCAATTACTTCGTCACTCGTTTTGTGATAAACATCATTAACAACGTTTCTTTCGTGCGTTTGAGATCAAAACGGTTTCCTTGACGTTATTGCAACAAAATAGTTACTTTCAAGTTGAAAATAGGTACTACGGACGGTGACTTAACACAATTCATGGTGAAAACTCGTTCGATTTTTCTTTCATTTAGTACCATCTTATTCTAGTACACCTCACAATTTCGAAACAAGGGGGCTACTCTCATTCTCCGTCCGACATACGTCCGAAATAATTACTGCCAAATAAATAATACTCGACCTAATTAAAAAACAATATCAAGTGTGAAGCCTCACTCGGATCATGCGTCTTTTTAATTTCGTCGAGTACTATTTATTTGACAGTAATTATTTCGGACGGAGAACGAGAGTACAGGGCCTGATACATTCACATGTGTACTCAATATTTGGTGATCTTAAATGTTTGCTTTATTTCATCTTGGATTTTGTCAGGGGTCTCCTGTCGTCGGTGCAGCACTGTGCCGAGTGGGCAGCCGGAGCTGAAGGGCAAGAGCCCATTCGTAAATGCCTCCGCTCACTTGGTGCCGTATTCCGCCTCGCGGTTCGCTCGCGGCAATTGTTCGCTCGCGCCACAGGTGGACAGTACGAAGATAGCTTCAGGAGAGATGTGCGAACGGCATTGAATGCCTTAAAAGTTTTGGCTCAACATCCACATAGAGAACATTTGGCACCTGCTCAGGTTATATACGATATATTATATATATCATTTAAGTATACATGCTGTGTTAGAGGAATTTCAAAATAATATTAATTTTGTCATTTGTCTCTTCACAAAATCAATATTAGTTACTTATATGTCGTCTTATAATATTCTGACAATCATTATTTTGTGTGTGTAATTGACTCGAACACTTTCAGGTAGCATTAATGGAGTCGTGGCCGAGCGTAGCAAAAGAGGTAGCTACAGCATTAGGGCCAGTGGAGGCCGCGAGAGTCACTGCTGCCATGCTGGACGCGCCAGCCGCCAACGCACCTCCTGCATTGGCAAAAGCGCGATTGGCTGCAGCCCAGGAGATACTGAAGGGACCTTTGGGATATGACCCTGGTAAATTCCACTTGAATTTAGTCGTTGCGAAGCATTGAATGAGCCATACAATGTAAACATAGCTAAATAAAACTGTTTTGAACTTACAGAAGCACGCAACATAGTGCTGACAACTGCTTGTCATCACCTAGCGCGTCGCGAGGAGCTCACACAATGCGCAGAAATGCTCGGTGAACTTGTCATTCTATTGTGGAAAAAAGAAGATCCACAAGAACCGAGTGATCCGGATCAAATAGACCCGGATGTAGATGTATTGTGTTTAAATACATTAGATGTGTTGGTTGAGACTGTCTTGCATCTTATTGGAGGCAATTCACCGGTATTGGTAAGTAAACTAATTTTTATTATCAACACCCAGTTTCAATATATAATTTATGAAATTTATGAAGCTACATGTTGCGTGCCATGTTTTTTTTCAATATGGCCGCAATGTAAGAGTGTTTAATTCCGTGGGAAGAAATCGCTAACCACGAAACTAAAATCAAAAGGCAATTGGCTAAACGGAGGGCGAAGACTGAAGTTTCAGTCATCGTAAGAAATATGCCGCACATACCATTTCCTGAACTTCGTGAAATTATATTTTCTCGATATCACACTAATTGTATGCTCTCCAGGGTTCGATGGTAGCGTGTCTTCTCGGCGCCATGGAGCTACTTAAACCGGAGCACTATCAGCGCCTGTGGAGTCACCTTGCACCCCACCCGCACGATCGCAAGCCGCTCAAAGACTTTTTGATGCGCGCTTTCCTTGTATTCCGACATCTTATTGAACAGGATGTAAGTTTTTATTGTATTCCGACATCTTATTGAACGGCATATAAGTTGCAACATTTTATATAATTGTGAGGTGATATTAAATGAAAATATAAAAACAATAATTTCTCATATTCAACAAGAAATAATAATCACACCAGAAGGTCAGTTGAAGATCGGGTTTTATGTTCTCACTTAATGAATGAACGAACGAACGAACTAAGACAAAATACCATTGTGTCGCTCTTCATTCGCTTCGCTTTATAATATATAATAATAATAATACACACTCATAGTCCCGCACTAGGAAGATCCTGTACCGCGGGTGCCATGGACACACACGTTAGACAACCACAAATTGCACCCAAACTCACGAGATAAATAAATGTAGGTCATACAAATATTTCCCCGGGCCTGGGAATCGAACCCGGGACCTCTCTGTGGCAGTTCAGCATGGTAACCGTTCAGCCACGGCGGCAGTTATATTCTTCAACGTTGCCGAACCATGATTGCCCTCTGCGCCTGTTAGATTTTTAAAGAACAGTGCCGCTTACTGTGCCATGAGCTTACTTTGACAATTGCCGCAAGCGATCGCTTATAGTATTTGACAATTTTAAATGGCAAATTGTACAACGGCATCTAGTGGTCACAAGAAGTAACATTTTACATATAAACATTTTACACGGGCGCTAGCAACGAAAGTGATTATAAACTCCTGGTAAAGGAACAGGGCTCAATACTTGACTTTGTAAGACTATTGACAGTTGGGTACAAGTACCTGTAAAATAAGCATAATCTTTAAGACTTGAATTTTGAAGAGTAAATAACTTTCGTTTGCAGGTATTCCCTTCAGACTGGATGGTATTGCGCGTACAGAGTTGCAAAGTGCTGTTATCTGCACTACAAGATTTGGCGAAACCATTACTTGAGAGGTTTATGGGTGAGGAGCCACCTCAGTTCGATTCTCAAGTAAGTAAATATTTAACAGTTCACATAATTTTACGTTTTTTGAAACAGGTTATTGGGAAAGACAAGTTTGCAGGGGTCAGTAATTACTTTAAAAAATGAACAAATAACATAAAAAAGCAGTAGTCAACACACAATCCCACCACTAGTCCATGATCATGCTCTGAACTTGTGCTTAATACGAGGAATAGAAATAAACTAGCTTTTCTTGATAGTCGTCTTCACAAAGTCGTCTTCACAAAGTCAAAAAATCATTTAAGGGGCAATGTATACGCTTCTATAACAAGATTCCGGTTGATATACAAAATTTGCCTTTCACGAGGTTTAAAACTATAGTGAAACAAAAACTTTATACCAAAGGTTATTATACAACTTCTGCGTACTTGGATGACAAAAATCCGTGGTAGTAACCCGTTTAGCTCATGGAGGTAGTCTCGATCTCTGATGTTTCAAATAAAAAAAAAATATTGTAAATGTTATTTACAAAGAGCAACCCCTAGAGTTTCTTGCTCATTCTTCTCAGGGGAATCTGCCTTACGAATGAGCGGTAGAGTTTAATATTGTGATGATTTCGAGTGTAATAATGCTTACCTATGAAATAAAGATTATTTTGAATTGAATTTGAATTTGCTACGCGAAGCTTTAAATCGCAAAGATCTAAGGCCACTGCGCCTGTCCCCTTGATACACAAGTTGACAAATTCCATGTGCCTGCAATTTCACCAGCAACCTTAACCTTCAAAACCGGAACACAGTAATGTACTGTACTGCTTGGCGGCAGACATAGGAAGGTGGCAGTACTTCCATGGACGAACTCATTCACAAGTAGCTCTACTGCTACTAAAATATTAGGCCATTCAGTGCTTTTAAACACTTGAACGAGAGTATAATAGTGCCGTGTAAATGACAGTAATCGAAACACTGCGATGCGACGGAATGTCTACTCCCTGCCGAAGCACAGTAGTCCCACTTATTTTTCTTATTTTATATTTTTTACAGTTCTGCATATTTGTGGGCGATATATACGTCACGACTTACAAAAATTGAATTTTTTATGCTAGTTTAAAATTTCATGAATATCGGTTGAGGGATGGACGATGCCAAGAAAACTTCGCTCACTGTACTTTGATAACCTAATCAATAGCCGAAATATTTTCTTCTAGTTATGGTCCGGCTACATAGAACTAGGCGTCGCCCTAGTGACGTCAAGTGCATTGCAGCCTGAGCGCTGGTCGGGACGTGGCCCGGACAGACCGCGCATGCGCGTCAACGCTGGCTTGCAAGTTCTAGCAGTATGGAGTAGACTCGGTTAGTTTTTACTCCTGTTTTGCGTAGTATACTGGTGGGACAGACGTAAAACATATTGCGCATATTTTAGTGTATTAATGCTTTTATGTTTTATAATGCACCTGTAAACATACCACATTACACAAACTTGAGGCAGCTCTAAAAGTGCTTTCATTCTGTTGTGTACAATTATGTATATTCAGGGTGGAATAGTTTAGTATGCCCAGGTAATATTCCGTAAATATAAGAGATATCAAAAACCTTGACACTGATATCAAAAGTACGTTACTAAATGAGTAAAATGACATCAAACAACGACGACGACGAACTTTTTTTAAGTAAAATGAGAAATGACCAAAAGAAGGATGGCGAAAGCTGACCCAAAATCAACGAAGTACTGTTCATGAACTTCGCTAGTATAATTTTACGTTTTAGTTTATGCCTAGTTCTCAATATATTTTTGTATATTTTGAAAGTCGGAAATAAAGAAGTAATGTATTTTAAAATAGATGCAAGATCGACCATAGATTAGGTAACGTTCTTGTACGTACGTTTCAATTTAAACATGATTGAATGTTTACCTACCTGAAGTATCTTTTATTTTGTAGTACACACAAAACATTAGAGCTATTAATATATATATTATATTAAAATACCTAACCAAAAAATCAATTAAACAATAATGACATAAAGTAAAAAATAAAACACAATGTGATACAAATGTTCAGACAATATTTAAATAGAGATACGAAAGTTAGCAAAGAAACATTTTAACAAGATGTTTTGCCTCTTGCCAATGTCAATGTCACTTTGAGATTGAGAACAGTGTAACCATTTGTGGCAGATTTCTGCCATTTGGGCAGATTTAATTTTTATTAATTTGTTGTATTAAGTGTGGCAGAGTTTGGCAGATTTAGGAATATTCAGCAAGTTCTTTGTTATTTTTAGAAACAAACTAAAAAATTTGTTGTTTTCTGCTACTATGAACAAACATCTGAAGCTAAATACAGGACAATGTTATAATATATAACTTTATTTAATAATTTATAACCTATATCAACTTTACAATCCCAGATTCTACAGGCTGTACTCAATTAGCTTTTTTGATGCGTTGATAATGATTTCTATTTTGATATTCTGATAAATCACAAGTATTGATAGGTCTCTTTAATACACGTCGTCAAAAACACTGGGTCACAAAATACACGATATGTCGCCATCCTTCTTTTAACGTTAAATGCTCGCAAACAAAGGCAATAAACAAACAATAAGTTTACAGGTAACGCAAACTGCCATAAATAAAATATTAAAAGTATCTGCTAATTGAATAAAAACAGGGATATTTATTTCTAAATAAGTATAAAATATTGTATTCAAAGCAGTTAGCAGTTGTTCGAAACTAAAGCCTCTCTACGTATGTCATATTAAATGTTTGGGATCGTTTAACGTTAAAGTTTTGGATGTTCCTAGTTTTATTTTTTAAAAGTTGTTGATGTCTATTTATTCATTAGATAAGGTAGTTTCGATATCAGTTTAAAGGTTTTTGATTTCTCTTATATTTACGGAATAATCGCCTAGGCACACGATTACGCCCTGTACACCGTCGTCTTAGAGTGAAAACCTTGTATGTGATATCTATGAAATTTTTCAGGGCGAAGAAATAAAATAAAAGAAGAATAAAAATGCGGTAAACGCAATAATGTTTGTAGTTAGCATTTTAATTAATTAAATTATACCTCTTTCAGATACTATATTGCTTTAATGATATATTTGAGCAAGAAGTTTATAAGTTTTCTCCAATAAAAATGAGTAAAAACGAACGATGTGAAAACGCGTATGCGAGGTTTTCACTCTAAGGCGACGTATGTGTGGAAAATATACAGCTAGTACTACGTTGCCACGCTTAAACAAATATGTATTTTTTAATTATTTAAAAGGTCCAGCACAACTCCACCTAGTACCTGGCGCAGTAGGAGCACTCCTAGAAATAACTCTAGTCGGAGAGCTAAGACGCGTGGCCCTCGGCGCTCTTGTCTCTCTAATGGCTTGTGAAAGAGCCGCCACGGGTTCCGCAAGAAGAACCGAAGCCGCGTTGGTTGATAAGCTGGACTCGCTCGTGGCAGATAATAAGGCTGATGACCATTATAGACGGCTCTTTGACACTGTGTAAGTGCTGTATATTTACGAATTCACAGCGCATGAGTTGGAGGCACTTCCGATCTAATACTGAAAAGGAACTATAACAAAAAGTATCGTTAGTGTGTGGTCGGATTCTATTTACGTGGTGTAGTTACGCCGACTACACCATCCCGTCACATTGGCGTGCCATCTCCTATCTTAATAAAAGGTGATAAAGATACCAGCGGTTTTATGTACTCTACCACACAAGATTCCTAGAACTATGTGTAAACAATAGCACTCCTATGCTTGGGTTCTCATATTTTTGTTATTTTCCTGTATTTCCATTCTATTACTAATCTCAATTTCACTGTTCACGCTATTCAGGGAGCACTTGAGTTCTGTGTAAGTAACTTCTTATTTATCGCGATCTATCATTCGTAATTATCGTAAATGTTTAAAAGTTTTCAACTTTCATTCAAATGTTACCCTTTCATTAGTGCAACATGTATTACACTGCGAGTAAAGATATCTGGTAGTCACACTTGAATAACATAATTACTCTTGATATATGGGTAATAATTTCTTACCACGGTGTGACTTCTTTTTATTTTTCCGGGAATATAAAAAGAAGTCACGCCGTGGTAAGAAACCTGATATTGGTGATAATCATTTAGTGAATAACCACGAAAGTCTTAAAATCCATACAATAATAAGAGCTCTTGATATATGGGTAATAATAAGAGTTCCGAACATCAAATGAAATTGCAACGAACTGAGGCTAACTGTAATACTATCTATTAGTGAAAATTTTCCTTGGTAAAGCCGAAGCTTTAACTTTTTGAAAAAACAAAAACACTAACAAAAATTTATTTTCCCGTTAGAAAGATGCCTTGGCGACATTTAAACCCAACACTAATTACCACTCAAAGATACTAATTCACTTCATTACATAGGTTAACTTATTCTACACGTAAAATACCATAGCTTTTAAAGTAGTTGTATATTTTAAGATGCTCGTCGCGATACGAAAGTTTGTAAACAAACTCATGAATGTTAAGTGTTGCTATTTTAATTACCTGCTAAACACCATAACCTTCTACATACATTCTTTACGTAGTCCTATTAAAAAGAAACACCCAATTAAATATAGATACATATGTAACACTATTTATCGTTAAGATTTACAAAATAGAAATTAACCATATTTTCTACACGTTTATTTATTATTTATTAAGTATTTCAGACATTCGTATCTAGCAAATAATCAAGAACTTGTACAAATTACATAATAATAATACTAAAATAAAACTGTACTTATGAATGATATCCTAACTTCCAAAAAAGCACTAACTTAGCTATTATGTCCTGTGTTGTCACTCATAATTGTATTTCCGTATTATGTAATATTTAACAAGCATCAAACTGTATGAAATGTATAAGATCGCTTTTTAACTTATAATAGGTGATTTATAATAAAAATGGCTAACGGTTTTTTGCGGTAAAATATAAATTGAGTTGGTGGAGTAGTATTACATCAACAAGAGTTTTTGGAACTTTTAATGTTTCATTCGGTTGTTTCCGTATTCTTATTTGCACAAAAGTTTTCGGTAACTTAGCAAATAACGCTCTTAGTCACATTTTGACTAAGCTCATTTTTAATTTAGTTTTGGAGATTTTATGACCCTTACTTTTTCACTAGAAAAGATTAATCGCACTTAAGTTTCCGCCTTGTAGTAACTATACCCGTGTATCAACACAAATACCTATGTAATATAATAATATTTATCAGGCTAATGGAGCGAGTTTCGACGGAAGGGTGGCGCGAGGCGGGGGCGGCGTTCGTCGGTTGCGTGACGCGTTTGCTCGAGCGGCTGCTCGACTACCGTGCCGTCATGCAAGGCGCCGAGCATAGAGACAAACGGATGGCGGCCACTGTCAATCTCTTGGTAAGATAGTAGCCCTTGTTACCCGTATATAACCAAGATTATTACCAGCTCTGGGAGATGTAAAATGATTCCTGCTTCTTCTTCTTAGCGTGTCAACTCTAAAGTTTTTATTTGAGAGGATCTGTACTTAGCGATTGACACAGCATTGTCATATATTAGTGTGCAGGGGTACGGACACATAGGGCAGACAAAAAGTGTGCCATTTGTCTGGGGAGAGACACTAAACAATACCTGCGCTAATGATTCCTATTAGTAAACCAGTACACTGATATTTATATGACATCTAAATTCCTTTGTTGGACGCTGAGTCCAGCTCTTTACTTTTGACATGCAATTTCTTTCAAAGATAGAGGGTGGAAAATTAAATTCGGTCTCCGCATGTTGTGAAATTTGATGGAAATAATTTAGGTGAAATCTCCAACTTCAGTGAAAGATGCACTGCATAGTATACATAAATAGTCCAAACCCCATCTGTTCAGCGCATCTCGGAGCACGCCTTGCTCGGAGCATACCGTACCGGGTTGCCATGCTATTGTTTTAATTGTAGCTACAGGTAGAAGGTATCGCAGTAGGACTAGCACGACAGGGCGCGACTTGAATGAGAACAACATACAGCGCGAAATACTGCTTATCTCGCAACTCGCGCTGTATGTCGCTCTCGCGCAAGTCGCGCCCTGTCGTGCTAGCCCTACAGAAATATCAATATAGCACCACATACTTTTTTCAATACAGCACCAGAACCAGTATTATGGTGCTGTATTGAAGAAACGTTTGTTAAATGCAGTACATATTGATATTTCTGTAGGTGAGAGGTGAAGGACTTTAAGAACATATTTTGAACTTTAGACGTTTCTTCAAACATTGCTTTAGAATGCTAAAATCACTCAACCGTAAAGGACATTAAGTGCTATCATCGTTTATTTTTTTATTTAACACATTATAATTGACCTTAAGATTTATTTTAAATGCCTAATTAAGAGCTTCATTCTTTTTCAAATGCTCTAATAAAAATTGCTATTTGACAATTAATCTTCTTTACCTTATCACCTACATATTTATATACTGGCATGGCGGATTAGTATCTCAATCATGGGAGTATGAAATGCTACTTTGTATATACATAACGATACATTTGTAAATAAAAAATATATTAATTTAACACAGAAATTATTTTAGTCACCTAGCGCATCTATGAATGAATGGCGCATGCGACTCGCGCTGTGCACCTTGAGTGTGCCGCGAGACAACGCGAACGTGTGCGTCCCTACGTATAACGGGCGTGCACGCCTACGTATATGGAGCTACACTATGTGTTTTATTATACTATGGTCTATGCTTACGTTTACTATTTAAGAGTACAAAAGTATCGACAGCATGTTAACGTATTTTTAATTCTTTTTTATTGTTCTTCTACAGAACTTTTATAAAAACGAGATCGACCGCAAAGAGATGTATCTTCGCTACGTTTACAAACTTCATGACTTGCACATAGCTTCGGATAACTTCATTGAAGCGGGATGCACGCTTTTGGTGAGTTAACTATACTATTTGGTATAGCTATTGTGTTAACAGTATAACAATGTGACAAACGGCGGATGTATATGATGAACGGTTGATTCTTTATAAGACGGTCCCTTCCTATTTGGACCGTTATAAGGGTAAGACACATGACATGACAACATCTCAGGGACTAAGCACCATATCTTTCTACGTTAGTTTTGATTATTGTGACCCTCCCTACCTACCCTTATAAGAATATTAGCATATAAGAAGGACACTATAACCTGTGCGCGCACAGGAACCTTGCAAGCTGAGGTTCTGACCCCAGATCAGCCAGTGTACAGGGTTCTCACAGACCTTTGTCACTTGACTTCATCCGGTTCTTCGAGAGGCTAGTGTCTCGGGTGAGCCGCCCCAGGTACACGTACAGTACCCTCCTCATTTTCCAGATAGGTACCGGAGCTGTAGGCACGTTCACTTCCCGTTGCGCATTGCACAACTAGCGGTTGCTACCGCTGAGCCGTCGAGTCTGAGTCCACTACCAAATTTGCTCATTGGTGGCGGAACTGTAAGCCACGCTCACTTCTCGACGCCGAAAAACAACATCTCTCCAGTTCCCAATAACCTAAGCGGCTGGAGGGACCGGAGGATATCTAACTTATCCTCTACTAGCTTTCCGGGCTAGTGCCGGAGATGCCAGTCGCAGTGTCCGGCGACAAAGCCTCCAACTTAAAGGGCAACTCACATGCCCCGCGAGTTTCGACCTCTACTAAGACGCGTTAGCTGCGCATGAGACAGACGCTCCGGAAACATGCCAAACCGGGGCAGACAAACATGTCCGTCTCTGCAGCTAACCACAAACCCCAGCGAGTCCATACCCAAGTGCGGGTTCGCAAAGACGTATCTCTGGCGGAGGACTTGGCCCGGACGCCCGCTGTACCCTGGTCTTGCCGTCGAGCCCGTAGTCTCTCCGGACAACCCTATCTCTCGGGTCGGTAGATAGAGACATCTCAGGGGCCATTGAAACATAAAGGACTAAAGACTGAGTATAGCTTATAGATTAGTTGTAGCTTTTTTTACATTATACATTTAAGATATAATGACGCTGACAATTTTTAATTAATTGGCTTGGCATCGGTAAATATCGAGTTTTTAGATGTTCGCGATTGTTATACAGTGGAATGAAACTATTTTTCAGATCTAGATCGCGTATATTGTGATTGTGAGACCTGTTAATACTCCGAAAGTTGGTTTGTTAAAAGAAACAAATACACGAGATTTAAATCCGAAAATATAGTTTCATTTTCTATCAGTAATTAACTAATGTTCGTGTAAGCACTGGTGTGTTTAAATTTTGATATTTTGCGACAGTACTGATCACAAATTAATGTGAATTGGTATGTGAACATTACGAACTTTGTTTTAGTTCTTACTTTAATGTCCTAATCTTTTCAGCTGTACGCAGAAACATTAAGTTGGGACAGCGATCAAATAGGCGTAGATCCAGAACACCCTGAAACACCAGAGTGGAAACGGAAAGAGGCTATTTACAATCAAGTGTTGCAGTACTTTGATCGCGGGAAGGTACTTTTTAAGGCTGAATTCACGGAGCGGTTTTCAGCGCAGCACATTTCACGACGGATTTTTCTCGGGTTTTCCATCGGTTCGTCGGCGACGACCTCGATCGATCACAAAGAAACGCGCGGTTCGTTCCGCAACCGCGGCAGCTACGTGACCGCACAAGCCTGCGGTGGCGTGAGTATTTCAATACTCACGCCACCGCAGTTGTCCTTCACCTTCAGTTAAAACCGCTCACTGGGTTCTGAGCCTTAGGATTACTTTTGTTTTTACTCTCTTTACATCAACAGATATTGATTTTTTAATGGTATTCTATATGAATATTTATAACGTTTCAGTGTTGGGAAAAAGGTCTTCCCCTGCTTCGTGAATTAGCAACAATATACGAAGTAAAGTTGTGCGATTACGCGCGTTTGGCTCACTGTCTTCGTACACATGCGACATTCCTAGATTCCATATTGGAACAGCTGTGGCCGGAGCCTGAGTACTTTAGAGTCGGATTCTATGGGAAAGGATGCCCCTTGTTCGTCAGGGTAAGAAGTTTTTGAATGTTTCACTACACTGATTTGTGAAAAAACGCAAATGCATTCAATTTACGAAATTGACACGATTTATGAGATCAAATGACAATTAACGATTAGTGATGCTGTCTGAAAACCAGTGATTTTTCCATACTAATGAAAAACTAGAGTACATACACTTTACTGTGACACTTAATTGTATAAATAATCTATCTCTTAAGATTTGTGAGTCACAGTTACCAGATGAACGAGTAGATAGAGTTGCTAAAGATTATAGTTGTTACAAGTTGTAATCTCGGTAGCCGCGTAGTTATTTTATAATTTATTACTTGGTTATATGATTAATTTTTTATAAAGACACTGTACACAATATTACACAGAACAAGCAATTTGTGTATCGCGGACACGACTACGAACGCATAGGCGCGTTCACGCAACGACTTCAATCGGAATATTGCTCGGCGCATATACTTATGAGGAACACCCCTCCTGATGACACCATCATTGCCTCTGATGGACAATGTAAGTAATCACGAAATGAAATATGATATGATGTAAAGGTCTGGTCTTAGTAAATCGACGTCTGGGCGCCTATTTTGCGTATGGTGGCTACAGGATTCTACTCGTGCCACTCGAGCTCTTCCAAGCATCTCTGCATCCCCGGGATCTGCTGAAGACTTCGTTGTTGACCATGCCGGAGTATTATAGTAGGAAATGTGCGCCCGTTTCTTCCTCCATGCACGTTCTGCATAGAGGGCCGTTCGTAATACCTATACAATTGAAAATGTATTATAAGGACCATGACCCATTAGTGCGGGATTTCAAGTGCGTAGCTCTTACCTTTTGAGTGTAAGATATTTTCGGGATAGACTAGCCTTGAGTGCTTTTCTAGCCTGTCTACAAACCACACCTATGTATGCTCTTGACCATTAGCTGGGGAGGGAAACCATGGATTCTGGTCCTACAACGTCTATCTCCGATCCTTTTCTGACCAGTTTATCTACTGCGTCATTGCCACAGGAGCCGTAGTATAAGAAATAATGAATTTTAATGAAATCCAATTCGAAATTTCTGCATGATTCTCGGTGTAGTGTTGGTAAAACCACTGTATGACCAACAAACATTGACCTACCAATAAATGGACGTCGGGTTCGCGCTAAAAAGTGTCCGCACCTGTAAGGCGTTGCACCACAAGCGATTGAAATATTTAAACAAAGAATTTGTAGAGTTGCTTTGATTTTAATCCTAATTTTAAAATGATTATTTTATTAAACGCTAGCAATAACTAACAAAATATTGTTGTACTCGTTTTACGGCTTGAGATTACATATCAGAAGTCACAAAATGCATTTGCGCGAAATAACATTAGCTCGAATTTTTACAATGTGTTTTTACGAAGATTACAAAACAAAAGCTAATTTTGTCTATGCTATCTCGAAAGCGTAACGGTTTTGTTATAAATCGGAATTACGATATTTGCGTTTACGTTTAGTTCGAATATCGGTACATTTCTTATAGTTCACGCTTATTTTCACATTTGTAGTAATATTTGTAAGTATATATCTGTCCAACTCTTTAAGGTATAAACCTTTAAGTGAATTTCTACAAAATTCGACATAATAATAATATATATAAAAAATTTAATTAATATTTACGAGACAAGCCATTCATTACTCTTGTGTTCAAGTAATTTTCAGTCAAAGCTAAATATGGTGCATTTTGTTAAGTTTCTAGTAGAAGCTGAATATGGTGTTTTTGGGCACTTAAATTGTTGTAAGCAAATTTAGGCAGTACTGCCATTGCAGTTTAAATTGTAACGTCATTACGTTACAATTTAAATTAAATGTTTTAGTTTTTTATATTTCGTTACAAGTCACAACGTTTGTATAGGTTAATCTCGGACATTTTTTTCGTGGTTTTTGTATTAGACCTGATGTCCATTTGTTGGTAGGTCAATGCCAACAAAGCCTTAGCGCATAATCCTAATGTAGCTTCTGCGCAAAATTGTCATAATGTCATGTCATACATATCAATTTCATTTCATTGCTAAGCATAGCTCAGATCGCTCGTGAAAGAGGATTTTCCATGTCTACTACGATTAGCAAGCCCAGTTACATATTGCAATAAGATTGCAACTGAAATATATGTACTGAGACACGTTGCTAATCACTTTTGGGTCTTTAAGCAGACACAACGCATATTTTTAGATATCCAAATCTGTAACGTAAAACCTGTGCCATCCCGACGAGTCTGGCCGCCTGGTACACCGGAGCAAGTGAAGCGATTCTACGCATGCAACGAAGTCAACACGTTCCTATGCGATCGGCCATTACATAAACCACCTATTGACAAGGACAACGAGTTCAAAGTACGTTGCGTTTATATTTTTTTGTAAAGGTCGCGTGCGGGAAAATTTATACCCCAGTGAGATTCCCCTTGGCTAGATGATAAAAATATGTGACCGCACTGAGAGAAGCCTATATTCAAGAATGGTTAAATAGTGATATTAGCGAGAACTCAGAATTGCATATGTAGTGGTGTGCCGTTCGCACAAAAACCACAAATACAAAATCACAGATACAACCACAAATGCTTCTGTAAACACACATTTCCGAGCTTTCGCTAACATCACTATCCCAAGTGTTATGTGTATGAGGAATAATATGATGATCCTATGTTTATAGCTTGACAATGACAAGATGTTTTATCAATAATTCTCGGTAGCTCTTGCAAATCTGTCAATGACCCTATCTATGAATCCTTGTTTGGTATATGCGTTTTAACTTTTTATTGTATTATCAGAGTCTCTGGATTGAACGTACTACGTTGGTGACAGAGAACACATTGCCTGGAATATTGCGGTGGTCTGAAGTCGTCTCTAGATCTGTTGAAGAAATACCTCCAGTTGAAGTAAGTAGTTCAAACATGCAGAAATAATGAGTTAAAATTTTTTTGTGCCTTGACTTGTCAGCCTATAAATTATTTTGGCTTATAGTTTGCCTGCGAAACAATGGAAGCAACGGAGCGTGAGCTACGCAGCCTCATTTCTCAATACACCGCCGACCCAACACGAAATATCAACCCGTTCTCCATGAGGCTACAAGGCACCATCGACGCTAATGTACAAGGTATTTTTGTGAACATTTTATACATTTATATTTACTACATAGAGGCAGTGGACTTTGTTTCTTCCCGTTCTGAGGAATATACCCACCAAACAATACAGGTAATTTAGAAAAACCTTGACTCCTTCGGACATGCGAATTGGCGTTCAAAAAACTCTAGAATAAACGTCGTTGGCGGCGAATTAGTTACAGTTAATACATAAAAACAATTAGGAATTGTTTCGTCTCAATGATAGACTATTTAACTTTTTATTTATCTATGCATACATGAGCATAGCCAAATGCAGAAGGTGGTAGGAGTATGCCTCCCAATCTTTTCCCAAAAATACCTTACATGATTTCATGGGCTTAAACATAACACAAAAGACATTATTTCGTATAACAGCGATAAATTCAAATATGAGATA